CTCTTGCTCATTTATGCATATTATTCAAGGGCGTTGGTGTCTGGAGAGTTAGGTGCTCAGATGTAAGGAGTGATGTGGTTACAGAAATTGTCTGACAATCATGAGTGGGTTCTCCTGCTTTTGAGTCCTGTTGCAAGACATAGGGTCTTCCAGCATCCCACCTCTTGACCCAGAGCAGTTCTACCTCCTCAGGATACTTGATGTAGGCCTCTGTGTTGAATCTTAGACACTCATCAACAAATTCAGGAGCAATTTTCTTATCAGAACGACCAAAGTAAATTTTCCAGGTTGTCGTATCTTCGTAATCACCATTAGAATAATCCAACTCTTTCAGGATCCTCTGCACTGTCCTCAGATTGACATACAAACACGCTGAAATGTTCGTATTGGAGCTTTTTGTGCGAATGCCAAGCAGTACAGCATGCGGTTTCTAGCGGGGTGAATTGCGCCATAATGCTCTTTTTCTCACAGACGGTGCCCAACTGACCCTGCTATACTGTGTAGTCGACAAAATCACAAACAATGAACACGCATGCGCGGAATTAACTATATAACATGACGACAATTTAACCATCGCACCCTGTAAATATTTATAGACTCAAATGTACCGTGTGCAGAAAAAGTGTCGAGGGATAAAATGGCGGAAGACAAAATGACGAATGGACGAAATGTAGAACAGACAAAGTGTCGAATACTTTGTTCGTTCGATACTTCGTCCATTTTGACCTACTACCCAAAACCCCTTAATTGCTGTTGTTCCCATGTTCACACTGACTCGGGGTGATATCACCTATTAGGTTCCCAGCTATGGGCAATAATTGAACCATTATGGAAGCATAAAAATCCAAGCAATACATTTTTATGCAAAAAAATCACAACAATACCTATTTATAGTAAAATTAGTAACAAAATTGCCCAGCAATACAAAATATATTTAGTTGAAGGCATAAAATTGATCAAATTATTTACATTTCGTCATCAATTGACCCCTGGTGATTAATATGTCTCAAAACAAATTCAATCAAAAACCAACACGAATAAAGTTTTTCATGACATTAATCCATATAATATCCTATAATTTCTTAAAGAAATCAAACTGCATTCCAAAATATAACTTCAACAAAACTACAACAGAAAACACACATATCACCGCCTCTCGTAATTATGTCCACACAATTACGTATATGCATAAGAGCTGAGTATCATCTACCATGTATTCAACTGTGAAAGCAGAATAACATATATTTTTATTGCTTCTAAGTTCCAAAGTAAATTAAATTTCGGCATTAAATGACTCATAAGGATGTTGATATGCAGTTGAAAACAACAACAACAACAACAACAATATACTACCTAAATGTACACACCATCTGAAGTTATGCAAATCACATAAATCTAAGTAACTCGAATTTGCTTGGAAAATTTTTCCAAATTTTATACGATTAATTTAGGCATAAAAATAAAGCTTGAGTTTGATTCTAATTAGTTTCAATGTGTTTTATTAACGTTATTGAATTCATTCCCAAAACAGCTGTCTGAAGTTATTATGCAGATTAAGATTAATCTTAGTTTAAGATTAATCTTAGTTTAAGGCTCTGAAATCTAATAAATACTATTTTTTTCTTTTCTTCTATAATATATGTTTAAACATGGATAATGGAAAGGATCTAAGAAATGCTGAAAAACAGAAAATAGTAAATTTATTGAGTGAGGGGATGTCCACACTAGAAATAACAAAGAGACTTTGGACAATGAAGACGGCTGTTGAAAAAGTAATTCAATTGAGAAATCGAAGTAAAGGAAAAGAACTTTGAAAACTTGTCTTCTCGATGAGAACGTAATCGACTTATAGCGAAAACAAAAAACACTTTAGATCAGTGATCATAACATTGACAGGTTAGAATTGAGGTAATCAAAAAGGGTAAATTCGCTTCACAGACAAAAAAAAGTGTTATATTCTGGAACAGAGTTTGATTAAGAAATTGTAGGATATTATATGGATTAATAGGAGGAGTAATGGATATCATCTCGGAGAGCCGAGTTCGAATTCCAGTCGAATCCATTATATTCACTTACGTGCTAATACCTTTTGGAAAGCTATTAATTCTTCTTCCCCTGCCAGCTATGGGTAAATAGCAGATATGGAAAAGGACAACTCCGAATTCAAAACCTATTTTGGCGACCTTGTGGCACGTAGTGCACCAGGTCTCTGTATTCGGTCCTTCAAAAAGTCTTTATCAAATCATATGTGCTGGTGTCTGGCTGCAGGTTCCTGTTTGAATACGACAGGAGAGTCCACTATATAGATTGATGCCATGCAAGACTTCTTTCGTGTAGGTTAGTTGGAGTTTTGTTATAATTATGGATAGACAGGAAATGCTGAAAGTTTTGGAAAGTTGAAATTATAAACTTTTAAATTTGATTTGTTTTTTACCCTGTGTCTGAGTATACAGTCTAGGCAATTTAATTTAGTTTCTTTATACTTTTGTATTTGTTTTTATCACTTTTGTTATGAAGTAACCCGCATTGTGATAACAGAAGATCTACCGAGGGAGGGGAATGTTCTAAAAACATGGACGCAAGTTTATTGTGCAAAACATTAGCGATTAAAGCACTTTCTTTACATTTCCGTCAAGTTTTCTTTTAATTAAAGTAGTATCATTTAAATCAAGATTATAGTCTGACAGATTACTGTGAGCCACTGTGTTGTTTTGTAAAAATAACATTTTTAGTTCATATAATATTGCATAATAAATTCCTATATATGCATTCTATCTGAATATAATAATAATAGACTCTCCCGTCGGTTTCGACGTATGAGGATCTGACAGCTTACTTGATTCAGTTATGAAAGTTTGTGCGATAATCTTAAGTGGCATTAAAACCCGCTAGTGATTTACAAAGGAGGCCACATAGGGAGCAAGTGTGACGATTGTGAAATGAGATCACTGTTAGATTGGCTGACCTTTTAGATCTTGCTCTTCCTTCTTGAAGATGATTCAGACAAGCGGATTGAAAATTGCTGAGTCCACTAAAACACGTTGATCTCCATTCTACCCGCTCCAAAGCTAAGCGCTCAAAGGTGTTATGTGGTATATATATATATATGTGTGTGTGTGTGTGTGTGTGTGTGTGTGTTACGAACACAAATATATTTTCACTTTGTCATTAATTTACCTAATATATATATATATATATATATATATATATATATATATATATATATATATATATATATAGTCGACTCTCCCGTCGAGATTCGACGAATGAGGGTCAAGCAGATCAGTTTCAGGAAACCGACAGCTCGACACCGGCACATGAGATTTGATTATAGTGGTGAAGGCTTCGTGCAGGACCATCCACACTTTTTTGAAGGACGAATACAGAGACCTGGTGCACCGAAAGCCACAAGGTTCCCAAACGACCCTCCGCAGGTTTTGAATTCAGAGTTGTCCTTCTCCTAGACCAGTTGCCATTCAAGGCTATAGAACCTAGTCTGTACTGCTATTTTACCCATAGCTGGAGGGAGAGAAAGAGGATTCATACCTTTCCCAAGGGTATTAGCACGTAAGTGAATGTACTGGATTCGACTGGAAATCGAACTAGGCTCTGCGATTCCTCAATCAAGCCGCTATCCATTACTCCACCGTGCCTTCTTTCTCTCTCTCTCTCTCTCTCTCTCTCTATATATATATATATATATATATATATATATATATATATATATATATATATATATATATATATATATATATATATTCAAATAGAATGTACCTGTAGAGGAACAAAGTGAATAAAAAGCGTTTCACAAGAGGAAAACTATTCTTAGGCGAAGCGTTTCGTCCTCTAAGCGACTTTTTTAGTGGACGAAATACGATAAACTAAAATAGGTTTCCTCTTGCCACTATTATATATATATATATATATATATATTAAGCGTTTCACCCCAAGCAAGGCGGGAAGCCACTAGCACGTAAGGGGTTACAGAGAGTTGCAGCGAGAGCAGATAAGAGTGATAGAGGAAAGGATGAGGAGAAGGATAGTGGATAGATCAAGGCATCTGGAGACGTCGATTGACATTACATTTGAATAGTTGGAGATTATAGCTCTCAGGGAAACTGGAATAGGGAAGGGAGTTCCACAGACGTGAGGTGCGAGATATGCAGCTGTTGGAGTAGAAAAGACGGCTATATTTAACAGTTTCGACAGTGAAAGGGTGAGAGCGAGATGCCAACCTAGTTGAACGCTTAAATTCATGAAGTCTGGGAACCAGCGAGAGCAGCTCATCGGCGCAGTTAAGTTGAAAGTATTTGTAAAAAAGACAGAGGGAGGCGACGGCACGTCTGTGAGAGAGCGACTGCAGACGAGATGCCAGATCAAGGCCAGTTATATTGCATATCCGTCTCTGGATTTTATCAAGGACCTTCAGAGAGACAGAAGGGGCTCCAGACCATATATGGCAACAATACTCCATGCAAAGGCGAATGGTTGATTTGTAGATTTGAAGGATCGACTCCGGAGAGAAAAATTTCCTGGCGCGGCACAGGGAGGCAACTTTCCTTGCGGTGGACAAAGCTATTGACTCACCAACTTATATATATATATATATATATATATATATATATATATATATATATATGTGTGTGTGTGTGTGTGTGTGTGTGTATAAAATATTACCAGCGTGCGAAGTGAATGTAATATTGATTTTGACGCCATATCTTGTGAAGTACGCATGTGATTCAGTTTACAAACAGCAGACTAAGAACTAATTCGAAGGGAAGCGCTAAATAAAAGGACTTGGTGAGTGTTCAATTTAACTACGCTGATTGGACTTCGTGGCAGAATCAGTAAAGGTGTCACGTGTGTCTAACGGACTTCGTATTTATATGGGAATTGAGTTAAATTCTTTCTGATCCTTAACTGTCACTTGAAGATCGTAGAAGATAAACCGAGCTGTGAGTTGCGTTAAAAACCAACAAAAGTTTAAAAGAAATGTAAAC